CCTTTGTCCCACTATTTCTGTGATTCCCCTTCCCTTCCGCAAATCAGATAAACTTATATACAAGACAAAGTGAACAGAAATAAAAACAGTGGCAACAAGGAATAAATCAAAGGAGAAAAAAAAAGAAAAAAGAAATAACTGCAAACAGTACACTAAAAAAAACAACCTCTTGCTGGGTGCCTGAACCTAGCTACTCAGGAGGCTGAGAGATCTGAGGATCATGGTTCAGAGCCAGCCCGGGCAGGAAAGTCCGTGAAACTCTTATCTCTAATAAACCACCAGAAAACCGGAAGTAGCGCTGTGACTCAAGTGGTAGAGTGCTAGCCTTGGGCTGAGAGCTGAGGGACAGCACCCAGGCCCAGAGTTCAAGACCCCCAATTGACAAAAAAATAAAAAATAAAATAACCTCTTGTTTCCATTTCTTGGAGTTCTTTTTGATAAGCATTTTATATGATCATATGCATAAAGTTATGAGCTATTGTGATCATCTGCTATGACTATCCTAGACATATTCTAGTTATTACATGTGAGGGAAACCATATAGCATATGTGTCTTTGGGGCTGGCTTGCTTTACTTAATACAATTTTTTCCAAGTCTTTCCATTTCCTTATGAATGGGGCAATGCCATTCTTTCTGATGGAAACACAGAATTCAAGTGTGTATATATACCATGTTTTCTTGATCCATTTATCTACTGAGGGGCATCTGGGTTGATTCCATATCATAGCTATGGTAAATAATGCTGCAATGAACATGGTTGTGCTGGTAGCTTTAATGTGGCCTTGCTTATGGTTATTTGGATAAATGCCAAGGAGTGGAATTGCTGGGTCATAAGAAAGCTCTATGTTTAGTCTTTCAAAGAACTCCCATACTGCTTTCCAGACTGGTTGAACAAGTTTACATTCCCACCAACCCTGCCAGCATCTGTTATTATTAGTTTTCTTGATAATGGCCATTCTAATTGGGTTGAGGTGGAATCTCAATGTTGTTTTGACTTGCATTTCTTTTATGGACAGAGATGTTTAACATTTCTTCATGTGTCTATTGGCCATTCTTATTTCTTCTTCAGAGAAGTCTCTCTTTTAGTCTTTAGACCACTTTTTTTTTTTT